CCCCCCCCCCCCCCCCCCCCCCCCCCCCGGCAGCAAAGGGGTTCTCATCAAGACGACAAGACTCACATTGTTCTGATTGGGTTTACTTACACTAAAAACATTAAAACCGGACAATCTGAATGTACAGTATTAGACATAAGACAGTTTTGATTTTCTCATGAAACCAAACACAGAAACTCATACTAGCTTTTTTTTACATTTAGTCAACGGTACAAATGAAACAGGGAGGTTTACGGCTATGCAATACATTTGATTCATCACTTTAAGACGGACTATACATGTCGCAATGGGCACTTTCAGGGGAAAACAGGCTCGAAAAAAGAAAAAGAAGAAGCAAGGTCCTGTCGGGGTCTTTTTTTTATTTTTTATTGATCAAACCTGCATGTTGAGGTAAGCATGCCACGAGGGAATACGTAGGAAGCGATTCCCTTTAAAAAGGGACTCCCTTAACCATATCCCCACTCACTTTGTAATTCGCCTCGACAGTAAATCAATTCTCAAGCCTGGCCCCTTGGACTCCTCAAACCCGAGGTCCTCCTCTCTCAACATTCCTGCACACATGAATCACTCCAACTCCTGGCTTCTACAAGGCATTTCCTGCCCGGCCCTCTCTCTCTCTCTCTCTCTGTCTGACTCCTCTGCTGAAAGCTGGGCAGGAACCCGCCGAGCTTTGATTCGGACCCAGAGGGAGGAGAGCTCGGCTTAACACAGAGCCCCGGCTCTGGGACCGCTCCGAGAGAGAGAGAGAGGCATGGAGACACGCGGTGTGTTTAGAGATGCCTGCACACCCAAGCGGGGCTTTAGTGCTTTATCCTTCAAATTTCAACATGAGCAGTGGACCATATTCCAACGGCAATATCGCTCTTAGCGCAAAAGTCTGCCCTAAGGGAGAGTCCTCAGTTAGGATTTAAGTATACATTCTCTCTAAGACAGATGTTCATTACTGTTCCAGCTCTGAGACCACTTAATGTGGAAGATCATAACAGATATTTGAGAACAGCAAGTGTGTAGTGTGTCAAATTCCTTAACAGACTCTACGATGACTCCCAAAGTTGGATAGAAGAGCATTCAAATGTTTCATGGCAAAAAATGTACAGAATGGGAACATAAGTTGGCTCTTCAAACTGTACACCTGTTTAACATTCCCTCAAGAAATCATCTCTGATGCTGAATCCACAGTATTTGTACATACAGCCTTTTTGTCAGTTGAGCGGACTCTAAGATCAAAGCAGCTCTTAAAAAGAACGGTCTAAATTGTCTTCATATTATATACATAAGAGTGACATATTTTACAGAGATCACTACACAAAAATCACAAACAGAGAGTCTTAGAGTGTGAGCTGCAGCTGAGTGAAAAGGGGTCATATGTCGTGACAGGGAGAGCCGGCCTACTGTGCGATGGCTGCTCTATGTGTGTATACTGTGTGTGTGTGTATGTGTGTGTGTGTGTGTGTGTGTGTGTGTGTGTCTGTGTGTGTGTGTAAACCGAAGGGATGTAGATGCACATCTTTGTAGAGACTTGTTTATCTGCGAATGTTGCAAGTGTGTGATCTCATCCTCTTCCCTTCTCAGATCATGGCTCTTATCACCAGTCGTCCTTTGACCTGGTGGAGATAGGCGCTCTGCTCTGGCTCTAAGCCCTGATTGGTCAGGGCCTCGTCTTCACTATCCGCCGGCTCCTCCTTGACCCTGATGACCCCGTAGTGAGCGTCGGGCAGCTCGCCGCTCGAGCCGCTGCTGCTGCTGCTGCTCAGCGTGTGCTTCCGGATGACTCCTCCAGGGGGCAGCCGGTCCTCCTGCATGCTCTCCGTCAGCTCTCGGTGGTGCTGCTGCTCCTCCTGCTCCTCCTCCGACTCCTGCAGGTGTGCGCTGGGCTGACGTAGCTGCTCAATGGACTTGGACAGCAGCTGCAAAACACATTGGCTCCACATTAATGAGGATAACCTGCAGCTAGTGATCCTCAACAAATCAAACATTCATCAGAGCAAAGCAAAAAAGAATATCCAGTGAGATTTCTGCCACATGAACGACATTAAGCACGCAAATACAGCCAAAGATTATCAGAAAAACAGTCATAGACATTTAATAATTCTAAGCTTTTTCCCAAACTATCATGATGTTGAAAAAAGAAACAAAACAAACTGTGAGGGAAACATACAATATACTGTGAACACTGTAATTTGCTAAATGGGAGTGCTCTTCTTACACTGGATAATTGTCGCTGACCCACATCAGTGGATTAGTGTACAGTTCAGAAGATCTTGCCAATGGTAGATCGTGTTTTCGCATGTAAATTGTGGCTATCATTCAAATCTTTTTTTCGTTTTATCTTACTTACATCAAAAAGTCTTTTAATCAATCACAGACAGTATTCATTTGTATTAACAGTTGCAACTGTCTGTGTTGGGGACATCAAAGCCGGTTAAAAAGCCGATAGAGCAAATGAATGATTTGTTAGCAGGTACGGAGGCATGTGAGTTGAAATTGAGCCAGACAGAAGAACTCTACTCAGAGGGATGTTTCAGTGTCTCGCAGCTCTGCTAATGTAATGGTGCTATGATTTGATTAGTCGGCCACAAGAGGGCTCCAAGAGCTGGAGCGCCTACCCCTGCTGCTAACCGGCAACATTACTGTCTACAGAATGTATATAAATATCCTTTCAGCTACAAGAATTAGCCTCCTTAGCTTGGCATTAGTACACACTGTCCATACCACTTCCTAAAATCCCTAAGCTCTTGTAAACTTCCATTAGTGCCCCCTACTGTTGCAGGCACTGAAGGACGTTTAAAAACAACCGTGGACCAGCCTCTGCTAGGAAATTAATTAGGGCAATGTTTCGGGCGATCCCTCTCAATAAACACCGAGGGCTCATCCCTGATTAGGGGCCATTTATAACCTCCACTTAAAGAGGATTTACTTTCGATCTCATTGGCCTGAGTGATGAGAGCAGGGCATGCGTATGTGTTGCTAGACAAGATGTCGCAATTATTCCAAAGCTCTTTTCAAATCAAATCGACTTCAGTGAGGACTTTTCAATAATTACAGCTGATATTAAACTTGATTTCATTGTTATTTTTATTATCATTTTTAGTTTTTACAGAGGACTTCAAACTGAAACGGTTTGTTACGGTGAAAGCTGTATCCGTACTGCTCAATAAGTGCTTGTGGTGCTTTGTGCTTTTTATGACTTCTAGGTGAGAGTTGCTCTATGGTTCCCAGCGTTGGGACACATCAGTATGAGAGCTCACACAATGCTGCCTTTCACAGTGTCTGCCACCTCGCACACGTCCCTCACCAGAATAATTACACTCTGTGTATAGCGAGGTCACCTCAGCCGGCGAACAGAAACATAAATATTGCCACAGAGGAACAAAATTTATTCTGGGCACTTTTTCGTTCATTTGAACTCAGCTGAATTGAATTTCACAGAGTTAGCATGTGAACGGCACTGATGCCTTAAGCTATGATAACATAATTAGTGCAGGGGAAGCATTTCTTCTCCCATTTGAAGTCAAGGCAGAAGTTCTTTGCTTTTGCAGAAACAACACCGGGATTCCTGGGAAGAACAGACAACAGCCCGGGTCTCTAACCCTGAGCTGCCGCAGAATGCTTTTACAAAACGCTATAAATAGATCAGCATTTGTGATCTTAAAATGATTAAATCAGACTCCCTGCAGTAAAATAAGACCTCCTGAGACCTTGAGAGGAAAAAGAGAATGCTGCGAAAAGAAATCTGAAAGTCAAAATCCTCGATGAACAGCACAATACCTTATTTATATGGATCTGCTGCTGGTACAGTTTCTGCTTCTCCAGGAAGTGCTGGTGTTGCTGCTGGATGACAAGTTGGGCCAGAGTGTTCTGAGGCAGCGGCGCTGACTGGGTCCTGTTCAAGGGCCGGTGTTTTGGTAGTTTGGGCCGGCTGCTGGAGGGGCGATCCTTCATGGCCAGAGGGGACTGAGGGTGGGATGACATGGTGCCCTGGCCTTGAAAAACAAAACAATCAAAACCAGTATTAGGCTTCTTTTGATGTCATATTGTACTTTTAATTTATAGCATAGCAATATGTAGTGTAGTGCAACGTAATGTAATGTATAACATGAAATAAGGCAGTCTAACCAGAGGAGAGTATCTTCTGCTGCCTCATCTGTTCCTTCTGCAGGAGGTGTTGGAGGAGGGCCTGGTGACTGGGGCTCACTTTAGACTCCAGGCCTGTCTGAAGGGGCACAGGGCCCAGCAGGTGCCCGGGCAGCCCATGCCTAATTTCTGTCGATCTGTCCGCCAACCCCATGGCGGCCTGAGAGAAGCATCAAAGATAATAAAGTAACGGTTATTCTTTAAATCACGCTACATATGCTGTGCATTGGGCTTGTTCGTTACTTATTATCATTTGTAGGAAATGTGACATTTCATTGTTCAAATTCAATACTACTGCTTTTTTTTTTTGTGAATGAAAATGATTCACTCAATGGTAAGAGTTTCCTGTAGCGGATGAACAGGCCTCTGTGGAATGTGCCAAAGAGCTAAAAGATGATATATCATGTGCTGTGCTATCAGGAGTTGCACTTGAATGGACTTGGCCTCTTTAAACGCTGTGATGAATGAGGTAATAGGGGAAGATAAGCGCACGCCTGACACAAGACACTGCAGAACAATATTTATCTAAGGGTGATAAAATCATTTGGGGCCACAGGTCAGTGACCTGTGGCCGCACAGAGAACTCAGGCAGCCACTGATGGCAGCTTTTACAACTTAGACCGCCACTGAACCACAAGACTGGTGTGTTAAGCAATATGTTATTTAATGTAAAACAAACACGGTTATCTAAGGATATTGAATAAAAGAAGTCTGTACTTACACTAATGGGTGAGGATGCAGTTGAAAGCCCCAAGGAGATATTGGGTAAAGAGGGAGAAGTGTATAAGCTCAGCATCGACACAGAGCCCTCGGGTCGGAACAATCTCGGCTGTGAAGGCCATCTCTGCATCGAAAAACACACAGGACAGAGGGAAGACAGAGAGATTTAGGAGAAGGCGACAGATTTAGAAATCCCACTGTGGACAATTTCAAAAGGCAACACGAGCAGCGGCATAAACGTTAATGCACTATGACGAACAACAAGCCCTCCGTGCTCCAGAAGGAAAGGTGTGAGTTTTTGTAATAGATATAAAAGGTGTGGCAGGCAGCAACAGTTTCCTGGAGCTTCACAGAATGGCACCAGGGAGGTTGATATATATATATATATATATATATATATATATATAAAACATTGCAAACCTCTAAATCTACCGCTCCACCCGCAGTTTTTTCAGCCCCCAGTCGGCCTGCTGCCTGTTCCTACTCCGTGGTCCCCACCCTCAGGCTACTCTCCCAGAGAACATCAGCACTGGGGCATACTTCCTGTACCCAGCAGAGCCGCGGACCAGCATGTGGTTTTGGAACAGCCATGTTTATCCTTCCAACCCCTACCAGTACTCAGTGACCTGTATGTGGATATCCGGCCCATATTTGACCCAGGGGACCCGTTCCCTCTGAAAAAGGATACCTAATGTAACGGTGCACAAACATGCCTTGCTTTTGCAACAGGCATGAGGTCTACGGGCAGGCCCCACCGTCCACCAATGGCTTTCAGCTTGGGGCTGATACAATAGCAATCGTGTGTATTTGTGTTGTTAGCATGTGGGTGTCTTTGGCTACTAGTGCCTGGGATATCAATTAAACCGTCTCCCCCCCAAGCCCCGACCTTCAGCCCGATGTCAGGGCGTCTCCCCCCTTCTCTGTGTCGCTGGACATCCCTGGGAGAGTAAACAGCGACGGTTAAGGAAAACACAGCTGCTCTGCTAGGATTGTTCAGAGATGTGTCATATCTGCCACCCTCTATAATGGTCTGCTTTGTGAGCTCGGTCCAAGGGGAGCTCTGGTCAGTAACTCAGCCGTGAATCTACTGGGAAACGCCTCCGAACAACTCAAAAGAGGCTCGCCGCCAAGCCAATGACAAGACTACAATGACAAGCCAACAGCAACCTTGCAGCCAAACTAAAGATGTTTTTTTTTTGTTTTGTTTTTGGCAAAACATAAAACTCATTGTGCAGCACATCTGGAAGAAAAATGTTGGATAGAAAAAATAAAATGTGCAGCATTAATTCCTACTGTTGTTTTTGCACTACATAATGTGTCATCTTTATGCAAGTAAACTTGGGGTAATCAGACATGTGGGTCAAGCTGTGCCTCTTTAACGTCAGTGTGGGGAGTCATTGTCAATGGAGTGGAACAGACAAGAGGACAACTGGCTGTTTTTATAGCTGCTAGCGGGACGGCAGACAGGCATTTAGTACCCTGACATAAAAGTATATAGTTTTGATATTCAAATGATTTCCATTGCAGAATAACATCAGCAGTAGGACTTTTGCTTCGCATTTTGGCAAGTCGATAGCAGTGCTGATGATTTATAAACATACCTCAGTTTTTGTGGTAGTAGGCAGAGAGGAGGGTCCATTTTCTGCCCCCAAGGCACTAGAGGCCCCTATGGGAGAGCTGGGGCCGGAGCCAGGGGCACTGTTAGTGGGCGTAGAGTCTACGAAAACATCAAGGAGTTAGACACAGTATGCATGCTCACATTCTGCACACAACACACACAGAGGCTCTGCATAACAGCTGCGGCCTCACAACAGGTTAATGTGTACGGTCATGGCTGCCTGATTACAATGGTCCTTCTTACATAAAGATGCTATGACCATAATATGCTACTGAATTGCAAATTGGCTGGTTACTATGCAGCTAAGCAACAATACCACTAAAGAACAGGCTTGTATTGTTTTCAGAGAACACTTTAAACAGCAGATAATAGGATGGACACAATATTCTGCACATGTGATAACAGGGAAAAAGAAAATTCAACAAATATAACGCACCCATTAGCTCCAGAGCCCTCTTCTTGTATGGAGTCATGATGTTTCCATCTCTTCTCTTGAGCATCGGGCTGCTCCTCCTCTCTGCTACCTTCTGCTTGAGTCTGGATCGTACCTTCAGGTTAGGCTCAGAGGCTAAAAGACAGAGAGCAGACATTTTTTTTACGTGAGTCTCAATTCACACTATGTGGACAATAAAGAAGCCCCATCACATGGAGATAAATTATACAAACGTGAGTGTGTTATGATTATTTTTATAGCGTCAAACGGTGTGCTTTTATACAGCCTGAGTGAAATTAACCTTATCAAAGAAAATAATGACGCCGTAAAATAAGAGAAGACTAAAAGAGAAATAAGGAATAAGTCAGTTAAAAAATAAGCAATGTTGTCACGCTTCGACATGTAACGATTTCAGTTTCAGTGAAATTCAGAGTATGTTTCAGATAAATTAAATGAGTCAGGATTGGGCCCATTTCCACCTCATCTGGACTAAATTAGGTTGAGCAACACACAGGCTCGAAGTGAAATAGTCCGCTACCTGCCGCCCTGGTGACCACAGTCTGATACAGTAGCAACAGTTAAAATAACACAAAAACATGGCAGATGTTTCAGGCTCTCCCCCCCTCCTAATGCAAAACAGAGATACCCAAATGCAGAGTTTGACCACACTCCAAAGTCTCACACACACACACACACACACACACACAGCTTGGCCTATACAGTGTTAACAGAAATGCTGATGCAATATTTTTCACAATAGACATATTGCTTTCAAACTTCTCAACTAGTATTAGTGAATGATGGATTTAAGGACATTTGTCAAAAATTCGCATTTTGTTCCATTTCAAATTCTTGAATCATTTTTTAAACCTCAATGGAACACACACTGTTACACACAACAGATGAGTAACACCTCTCAAGTACCAAAACAAAGTCTCGTTTGATGACATTGAATTTAAGAGGTTGAACAAAGCGGTGAGAATAGCTCAATAAAGAATTAATTATTTATTCATGTTTATTTACTTATGCCATTCTTTGAACGGGACTAACACTAAAGTGTAACTACTAAACAGGGGCATAAACAGGAACTAATTAAGTTATCTTTCTTTATTTCCCTTTAATTTGGTGAACGTAATTCAGGGTGTAAGTAATGAACAATAACTATAGATTAGGCTTGAGTTACATAATATATAATATTACAGACCAATGAGTGTCTTGCAAAAGGTAAATCATGACATATTATATAATGCAAACAATGCATTGAGCTGCAATGAGGTTGAATCCAGAGAAAGAAATCATCTTTAATAATGTAAGCATCTGTTATGTGAATGCTTTTGTGCCTGACAGTTGAGTCGCGCTCACAGTGACAGTGACTCACTGGGTCAATACATCTCATATGGACTTCCCATCAACCCTGTGGACATGAAATCACACAGCTAGCCTTATACACTCACATAAACCAGCAGAATAAAAGCTGGTGTTTTGACTGAAAGCCAGAGCACAAAACTGTATTCAAGTTATGTAAACCTGTTACACAATAGCCAACCTGTTTCAATTATTTAGCTCAGATCAATAATTAAATAGGTCTATTGCGATGTGTACAGCATACAGTGATCCATAGGGATGTGGGGCTGTGACGTGGGAGCACTGCAGGGGGGAGGAGAGGGAGCGGTGATGGGGGGGGGGGCACAGCTATAGGAGAGTGGGCTGGATGCTGCTATTTCTGGCTTTTGTCAAAAGCAGCAAAACCCTCTTCCCTAATACGTGGCACAGACCTCTAATCCTGTGGGTGTGAGGTAGAATGAAAGAGAGCGAGGGAGGAAGAAAAGAGGCAGGAGAGATAAATGGAGAGAAAATGCTGCTGGGAGTCGTATGAATCTACTTCACGCACTGCTGCCTTGATTGCTTTCTATTTTTACACACCGCTGCCACCAAGCTATATACGCATCCCAATTGGTCGCCACGGGAACACCAGACAGCACCTCGGGAACAAACACTTTCTCGCTGGTCTCCGTGGAAAAAATAAAATAAAAAATGCCCCGATGCACGATGCAACAGGAGGCAACGATGGCGGCTGCAGAGCTCATACACTTGAACACCTGGGTCGTTTCTGCTCCAGCTTCTCAGTGAACGAAAACATACAGTGATGGCGCCAATATACCAGAGTCATAAATCAATCACCTTATTACATCTGAAAGTGGTGCTGCAGAGCTGGTGGCTGTGCAAGTGAATGCGTTACGCTACCGCCGCTTAATAAGAAACCGCGCTGTCACTGTGGGTGCCTTCGTCCATCAGAGCCTGGACCTGCACAGATGGCTGCGTGGAAAGCTGAGGTGTGTGTTCTGTACATAAAGAGCCTGCCACGCATTTTTCTGACATTCTGGTTTAAAGTGGCCCTGAAATTGATGAATTAACGGTCAGTGTTTGCTGTTCCTTTAACAACATAAACGCAAAGCTAAAATTTGAGGCATTCTGTGTTTTAAGATTAGCAAGTTAAATGTTTCTATTCTTTACAAGATCAGATAATTTTACACACAATTTACTTTGATATACTTTACAGTTACACTTTCATGGAATTATTTTTGAAAATCTTTCCTGCACCTGCTGAATGCACACATTTGGTTAACCGGGTCAAGACCAGAGAGGGTGTTGCACTTCCTGCTGCTAAGCTGCAACTATTCTTGCAACAGACTATCGCATGCCCTCGGTGCGCTCTATTCTGGGCCCTGGAAGCGAAACAAAGAGGATATGTAGCGAGTAAACAAGTTAATTATGTGAAATTCTTTAACTTGCTTTTTGAATGGGTGGAGTAAAGCCAAGGGCATTACAGCTAAACTGTGTTTTGAAGGATGACATAACTATTAATGGGACACCCAAATGAAATCTCAAAGCACAGATTGTTCCTTTAATGGGATATTTACCGGACGTACTGATCCATAGTTGAAATTGTTATCATAATGTCTACACCTGAATATCAAAAAATAGTGTGCTTAAAATGGATTGAGGCTATTTTTCTATTCAATGTTAAAAGATACTTATTGACCACCAAGTGTTAAGCAATATATATTACATGTACATCATTGTGAACCTCAACCAGAGAAAGGTGGCGCTCGGCTCTCAGGCCAGATAAAGCAGTGGGGAGTCTGACGTGGAGCATTGGAGTCATCTCCACTTTTGTTTTGAGAGAGCTATCTTTGCTTAAACAAAACAGTCCTGTCGAGGTTCATCCTGCCTGTTCCCGTCTTAACTCTGCAACACCTGCCAATCAGCTATCAGTGACAGCTCGTGGCTCAGGGAACAACACTACCTTTGTGTGTCCCTCTCGGGTGCCAAGCTCTCAGAGGACCTTAATGAAGACAGACAGGAAGTGGGGGAGGAAGGCCTAAGCAGGAAATGACCACATATAGATTCAGGAATCTGAAGAGCAAGAAATAGTTTTATCAGTGCAAGACAGGCAGGCACAGAAATGGAGAGATGATTTCACCATGAATTAAAGGATGAAAATGTTGAGACTGAAATTGTATCCGTCCAGTTATTTGTTTAAACCTGCTTCTTTGTGTTCACAGCAAAAGGCAAGCACTCCTACCATTTACAGTCGCTCTGTCTTTAACTGGTTATTATACTCATCAAGCAACTCATTACCTTCGGGATCTAAAGACATGTCCCAGAAATGTAAATATGTATTTACAAGAGGCATGTTCTGAAGGTGGTGTGATTGAAATAGATTACACAGCTGTCAAAGCTTTCCTTTACCTTTCTAATGTGTTGTCCTGCCATGCAGTGACTTTATTTTACAAGACATAATTCCTTTGTCTGATCTCTAAATTGTGTATACATGCAACATGACAAGCCTGCAGTTAAATAACTCAACAAGTATAATTGTTTTCCAATGTAATCTAAAGAGACACAGAAAGGAAAAGGACATAAAGTAATTCGGTGACCTCATTGCTGAATTATGAAGTATTTAGCTTAGCGAGCTTGTGCTTGCTCAAACCAAGAGGCAGGAATTATTCTTATTTATACAAGCATCCCCATAGGATTGCTCAAACTTTAAACCAACAAACCTGAGCTGCTTTTTGGTGGGAACCTGTGTCTTTTCAAAATAGCTTTTAAAGCCCATAACTCAGGAGAAATTAATCCGCTTTAATTCTCCCATTACCCACTAAACCGCTAAAAGAGGCCAAGGAATTTGGTTTATTATTGTAACATAGGGACAAATGTAGTTCCTTTAAAAATAATGGCGAACACTAATTAAAATTTTAACTTGTGAAGTGAAAACATACAATTAAACTGTGTCGTTACATGTGTGTTTTAGAGTAATCCAAATAGGAATAAGGAAGGTTTAAGTTATTTTTCTGGCATGCGTCACCTCTTATGAAAGTTTTTAGTGTAGAGCCCTGGAGGGATGCGGAGGAGGGGCCGGGTACATAATGAGCCTAACTGATGTTATTAGCAGGTCATCAGCAACCTCAGGAAATACTCCATGGGTACACCGACCTCTTGATTGACAAGGGTCAAAAAGACACACGCACACGTGTGTATTTATAACGCAGCGTAGTAAATGGAAAATGACTAATACGAGGCAATATCTTCATGCTCACATCTCTTTAATTAGGTCTGTGTAGATTTATGTATATTTGCATTTTCATGTCTGTGCTGTGTGTGTGTGTGTGTGTGTGTGAGGAAATCATCAAACCTGTCTTTCTCAAGGGGAAGTCGTCCTTGCTCTCCATGGGTGACGGCAGACGGTACTGGCAGGTGGGGGATGTGCCGCCCAGAGGTGGAGAGCTTTGGTCCAGTGATGTGTGGTGAGAGGACCTAGTCACACAAAAACACATCACATGTATGATGTGGATCGTATTTCTATGTGATTTACATGTACTTTCTGTATTTGTATCGCACTCTTTCACGCTAAAGCAACAGAAAATACTTACGTGTACCAGAGTTTTGGGTGGTGGATGAAAGAATGATTGACTCCATTGCTTCCAGGGTCCTTCGCTGATTTGCTCAGCAGAAACTCTTGGAGTTTCTGCTTCACCTCGGTACTTGCCACAGCCCCTGTGAGGCCAAAAGACGGAACCAACGGGATTGGGGTTACCCTAGGGTTCTGACTCCTGATATATTACTGCCTGTTAGGAATCAAACATCCACCATATTGTAACAGATTCCCTCACCTGTTTTATTCTCCTTATCACAAATGAGTTACTGGAATTGAGGTACTTCATTCTTTTTTTCCCTCTTTTATTTCTTCAAATTGAGTTTACAATAGCTCCCCCGGCAGCCACAATTTATGTATGAAGATCTCCCCCTGGTGGTATAGGTGGCACTATATTAGTTTCAAATGCAACAGTGATACTGCAGAGAGATGTTCTTTCCCATTGGAGGGTTACAGTTGCAGGTCACAGTTTCGAATTACCTGACTTGACAAAGTCATAAATATCTCTATTATTAGCTATAAGGTAAAAACAGAAATGAAATACTATATCTGAGGCTATTTTCATCGTGCTATTGAAAGACATTTTCTCCTAAACTCTCAGCTTAAATGTCATTGGACAACCGCATGACATCAGTTGCATGAACTGATTAAGTACCATGTCATCATCACCATCATCATTATTATATTGTTGGATATGAACCTAAATTGCCTCTCCACTGGATATTTAAAAACCTTGGCAAATAAAATCTAAAAGAGAGAAACTTGTTTTATTTTGGAGGGCTGATCCTCTAACACTTTATTTGTTTTATTTTGATCTTAGCACTTTGAAGGTAGTTTTATCAAATATTGTGTGGGTGTTTCAATAAAGTTTAGTAAATATATTGATGTGGACGACAGGATGAGTAGCTTTTGCTGTTACACAATCTAATATCAGCCTATGTTAGTTGAAAACCCTCCTTTTATTTCAATAAAATAGAATGTTATGGCTAAATTATGGCTAACATTCTTACAAAGGCTATATTGATCCTGCCACATGACTCGATGGCTATCCTTGTGATAATGATGATAACTGAACATGTACATGAACCAATGTGAATATATGAGTGGAGCATTGAGCTACAGTAAAGCATTCACATCCAACTGTTATATGTATATTTTTGCTTAGACCCCACTCTATGATAATGCATTAAAAGAATATTGGAAATAGTCGAGGGTTACGATTTGGGGCCACATGCTTACTTTGCCTCGGGGCTTCTCAAAACACCTAATTCCCCCCCCTGATGTTAAGGAGATGGTGATGATGTCTGCGTCGAGCTCTTACCCTCTCGGGAGCGCTCCTTGCCCCGGAGGATCAGGCTGGAAACATGCTGCTCTCGCCGATTCCTCTCCTGCTCCTTCTCCTGCTGGCTCTGCTGCTGCTGCTCCAGACGACGCTCCTTCTCTGCAAGCTCCTGCTGCTGTTTCATGGCCTGGAGATCGTGCTGGAGCTGAGAAAAAAAAAAACGCAGGCCTCGACTCAGCATGAAGAGAGCACACTGACAAATACAGTTTTTAAAATTACAGTGGCTTATGTGAGCTTCGGTAGATATTTTTGCTGTGATGGACTATTCTGTGCTCGTCTGTAAGAACACAACTCACGCTGTTCTGTGATGTATTGCTCAACACCCTGCCTTGCTGTGCTGAGTTGTTTCTTCTCTTTCTGCACCCTGTGATGTTGTCCTGAGCTCTAATGTTTTCCACTGATCTGCAGTATGCCATGTGGTGTTGTGCTCTTCTGTTTTGTACACTGTGCTGATGTGCTGAGCCACTGGGCACACTGCTGTGCTGTCCTCCACACAAACAGTTCAGTGCCACGCTGACCTTTAGGTGCTCTTGGAGCTGAGCCTGGTGCTGACGGGTCAGCTTCTCGTGCTGCTTCTGGAACTCGCTGATGAGTAGCTGCTTCTGGATCTGCTGCTGCTTCTGAATGAGGAGCAGCTCCTGCTGCAGCTGCCTCTCCCACAGTCCCGGGTCAGAGCCGGACCCTAGCATCCTCAGATCTGTACGCAGGTCCAATGGAGATAAGGACTCCACAGCCAACGCTACGTCTGGCTTAATGTCCACTGTGAGAGCAGAGAGAATAAAAGAGAGAAAGAGATGGGTCAGTCCCGTAATTAGCACTTTTCTCTGTATGCAACCAGAGGTGGCTGTTTATAGCATATTTGTATACTGAGTTAGGTTCAGGAGGGAAATTAGGATTCTGAAAAAGAGAGTTGGAGCTCTAAAAATGAAAAACTAAAGAAAGAGCAGGGAGGGAAAAAAAGGGTCAGAAATGAGGAGCACAGCTTTCTCTCTCATGATCCTCACAAACCTGCAATTATAATAGTTTCTATAAACAAACATGGGATCACATCCGTCAGTACAGTCTACTGGGAGGAGCTCTATAACAGACTCAATAGACGTTTGGCACGAAATGTTGAAGTGGTCCTTTAAAGTATTTGAATAAATCCTATCTTCCCACTGTTTGATAAACAAATAAAGAGAGTCCTTTTCCCTGTTCTCAACCACATGAGTCATGCAGCTATCCCTTGTTAACGTAAATGATTCAAGGCGAAGTAGTGTGAGCCTGAATTCATGTTCCTGTGATCTTTCCATCTCTGCTTTTGAGTGCAGACGCTGCGATGTGTGCATCTGTAAGAACTACCTTTGTCTTTGACAACTACCTCCATTATAAGTAATTGCCAGATACAAAGTGGGAGGGCATCCCTGTGGCCTCCGAGCTCTATATATACCGGTAGGTTATTCCACGGAGAAAATCGATTGCCCGTAAAGAACATAGGAGACAGGGCTACTTCATCTCTCTAGTCCACAGAGGATGATTAGTGATCGTACACTATTTCTCTTCATCTTTTTCCATGCTTGTTCTCAACCTCTCAACTGTCTTTAGTTGCTACAGTAAGAACAGCTTTTCTTTCAACAGAATTACATCTTTGAACCATTTAAAAAAATGTCAAATGTCAAAATGACATGTTAATTATGCTGAACGTGACGTGACATTCAAGGAAGGGTACGCTGTGTCCGGACTCTATAATGTCTCTTCCATTTTGAGACCAGAGAAATATTCAAACCTACTTAAAATTCCAGTGGCTGGGGGGGGGGGATTTATTGAGTGCATTCATTGCTGTAATCTTCTCACAGGTCACATTTGAGGGAACAAACAAAAGCACTGTTACTACACCACCTGTTCTTTGGGAAGCACGAGAGGAAAAACTAGCACGTTAACAATTTACATGTTGACATAAATAAACCTGGTGACAATCCTGTCATGCATTTACCCTCATAAACTGCAGTGAAATGCCAATAAAAAGGAGTTTAAACCTGCCAAAAGTAGTCAGTCTACAGTAGCCATCACTTGAGAAGAAGTGCCCTCCTGCTCACTGATGCTGTGAAGCTCACTGGCGCCCATTTGTTTTGTCCTGTAGCCTGTTTTTCATTGCCACCATTCCTTGTGTATGCGCGCGGTGATGATTATAAATAGAAACATAAAAGCAAGTGGCGCAATCCTGGTCTGTGACAACCCCCACACCCTTGTATCCACCACCCTAACTTGCCGCTGCCATGGCAACGCCGGCGACGTAATTATGCCCCCCCTCCCCATCCTGCAGATATCGAGTCTCACCGCATGTCATCTCCTGTCTACAGTGGGCAATGTGACATGTTGACTATTATATCAGCTTTTTTCAGCTCGTATATAAGAAAGGAGTCCCCAGCACAGAGAGATAGAAAGCATCACACACACACACACACACACACACACACACTGCAGAGATTCAGTGATAACTTGTCTTAAAACATGTTCAAAGAGTGGAGACAGCTCGAGGGGACTCCCGTACTGTGATTCTTCTTTTTCTGTGTTCTAAAAACAGCTCCCATGAAATGACAGAGGAGGGCAGCGGCTCGGCAGGCACCTGTAGAACAAACCCTTCTCTCCTGACAGGGAATATTAATCTCAGCTTGGAAGTACTTGACAGAGGACTCTCCTGTTCCAGGGGCACGATGAGAACCTGTGAACCATTGAAGGGATCAGAGAGTCAGACAGCCCTAGTGCTATACTTTTGCCTAATGGACCTAAATATAGCAACAACAACAAAAAAACACCTGCTGTCTTCGGAGAATTCACCACCGAGATATCTAATTAATCTCGTATTTCATTCTGTACCATCGCTGTGACTGGCATTAAGGATCTCCACTTTGATCAGCACATCAAGCTGAGCTTCCATCAGGAAATCTCAGACAGTGGTTTAACAGGATGGGGGGGGAGAGGAGGAAGAGGAGGAGTGTGAAAGCTTAAGCCTCCTTTGATAACCAAGACTGTATGAGATGGCCCTTGAGGAAACCACAACAACCTCGTGTGCCTGTTCTACTCGTGTCCACTGTGTCGCTGGATGAAATGACAGCGGTGGAGAAACATAGTAAGGTCCTAAAGGTAGCTCCACTGAAGCCCCGACCTAATAAATCATTTACAACTTACATTCCCCACAATTGACTGACGCGATTATTCTCTGAGCTGATTGGAACAGAGGAAAGGTAAAAATATGCCTCTGTCTCTGTATCAACTGCCACAAAAACATAGTTGCACTGAAACTACCTGAAACTCAAATTGGCTGTTTCTATATTACAGAAATACTCCTGAGGCAGAGGAGAATACGGAACCACCAGTAACTAGGGCTAAATATAAATGCTTTTCTGAGCAGGATCTTAATATAGACAATGTGCGAAAGACTGTCACAGTTGCGAGGCCGCCTGCTCAATTTAACACGGGCAGAAATAAAAGCGCAGTGTTGCATTTATCTAACTTTTGGTCCACTTTCTGAGATGATCGCTCGCAAACGAGAGCCTGTCACCTCCTGGTCCTACGTCCGCCATTCACGATCCTGACCCTTGATATGAATATTTTTTTTGGGGGGGTGAAAGTGAGGTGCTTCCTGATTGGTGGAAAGTGCACAGACGTGTCTCTAGGCCCTGGTTAACAGGAGATTTATGAATGACAGGTCCAAAATTTGTTTTTAGCACAAGGGAGCAACAAGCACCCTAACCCCATGCCCAAATTCCTCCCTGTGGAGGGCCTGCCGAGGGGGGATAGGGTGACTCACAGCCTGTGAGCACACTCCCACTGCAGCGTCGCACCGCCAGTGTCCCCAAAGTGTTTATTTCTATAACCGATGTGCCTCTCATTAGCCTTGGTGGTGGTTGGAGTGACAATCACAGCCTTAATTTGAGATGTTGGATGGCTGTCTTTTTTCTGCCTCAGGCCACATTAACAGGCTTCCTACCCCGGAGAGAGAATAGACACACATCGCCTGTGACATTACTATCACATGTGAGGAGTATGCAATACATAGATACACATCGTTAAATATTATCACTTCTTTCCCGCTCGAACATAAAGTGATAACTAGTTTGAGAAATGAGTTATTAACATTGTAAACATAACCTGCTGAATATAAGCAGCTATTCTTACACCCGTATACGTTAGTTTGCACCTAGAAATAATGTTTGGTGTCACTGAAATAGGCTAACGTTATTCAGATTAAGTTGTTTTAGCACAACAAACACATTGTGTTTAGTGTTGATCAACTGTCTCACAGGATGTTAAAGGGGCCCTGTGGTGTTTGAACAAAAGTAATGTTTCCAATCATAAATATTCCTTGGAGGTGTTTTGGGGTAATAATAATGAACATCTTGCATACATACTGTGGAAGCTAAGGTTTATCTGATTATTTAATTGATGCTAATAGTGTTTAGAAATAGTTACATTTGCAAGAAGTTAAAAAAACAACACTGTTGACAATCATCTGTTCTGTTTGTTGTTTAAATATTTTGCACCAAATAAAAAGTTAATAAAATGTACCAAATTACAGTGTAAAATATGGTTATGGTTGAGTAGCCTGCTTTTCACAGATTTAAACACACGGCCCACTTTGTGTTTACACTTTGAGCATGTTGTATGTTGCGTGCATTCAGTGTGCACTTGAGATTGTTGCTGATCTAAATTCCCCGTCTGACAGTATAAATAGAACCAGAGATACAGAAGATGTTTGAGGGCAAAAATAAGCTGATGCTTGGGACTGCAATGTGGCGCTGGATCTCTCATTAAGTGCCTTGTTATTTTGAGCAGCTGGCATGTTGGAAGCAAAAAAAACAGGTCTTTATTTTTAAGTCTCGGGCTCGTCCTTGCAGCTGAGCCAGAGCTGCGGCTTGCAGGCTATCTACTAAAGAAAGAGGGCCGAGCTGAACCACAACGGGCCGCTCGCTGAGGGAAGCCAGGGGTCTAGCCGTCTCCCGCACCGCCATCATGCCAAACCGTCTCACAGCACAGACACTAAAGGACAAAGATCAAATCTCTATCCAAGTCCCTCTGACAATATCTTATCATCATCCTTCTGTGGACAACATTGGCATCAGATCTTAATAAATCAATCACAAAGAGTCAATAGCCTTAATGCTTTGAGCAACAGCAAACACTCCGACCGTCCAACCAAAGGAAAAGTATCCTTAGTCCCACTGATGAAACACAAGCCATAAACTGTGCTCTACCTAATACAACATCAACAGAAAGAAATACTGTATTTTAAGTTGGGCTTTCTATTCAACACACTCTTCAATTATTTAAAACAATAACTTAATCATTTGTATAATGAGCCACTGTTAAGCAATACTGAAACCAAATCTGATATTCATGTGTGTTATTGTGCACGGCCTCTTCTAAAACACACGGTGAGGCCGCCTGAACGGACACGGGACGGAGACGAGAGGACTTGAAAAGAGCCGCTCTGTTATTATCTGAGAGGTCCTTATTGAAGGGAGCTTGTTGTACTATTTTACATATTTTGCACTTGGGGGGGCAAATAATCAGTTTTCCCTTGTTGGAAACCATTGATGTTACTGACACTAATCTAAATAAAAATATGCCCATTAGTTTCATGTTGCACTTGAAATGTAACAACAAAGATGTAAAACATAAAAATGTCAAGAAGTTTGCTTCAGAAAACAATTCACAAAGGATCACTTCCCAAATAACAATCGTGACAAAAGATTCATATCCTAAAACAATAATACACAGCACATAATAAACCCACCAGGTCTGTTTTAGAGAAAATGTGTCTGCTCTGCCAACAACACTCACATGACATCCAGCAAACTCATTTAAAGGCATTCTGGAGTCACTGTCACGTGATTTACTATAAAATGGAAAGAACAAATTAAAACAGGCAAATGACAGAATTCTCTATAAATATCTGTTCCAAACCGCCGTTATATCGGGAGCATGCCGAGATGGAATGATAACGCACAGACGCCTAATCTTAGCAGGCTAATGCCATAAACTGAAAATAACTCACCTAAGAATAGCTGACCCACAGAATAAGCAAGGAGCCCGAACTCAGGCGCTCGGTCTGTCTGTTGTTTGGCTCACAGGCCGCTAACGGCAGAAGAAGAAGAAGAAAGCCTCCTCTGCTGCTCCTGTAGCCTGATAGTCAAATAACTCGCTCTATTGACAGAGATCACAGAGGGAATGTGTCATCTCCCTGTCATCCCATTTTAAATCTCCTCACGTTTTTAGCCCACTGCCTCTGGATGTTTTCAGTCACCCGTGTTGCTCTCCTGAAGTCAGGCTTAGGGTTGTGCTTTTTTAACTCCCCCTTTTGCTGTTGACTAATTGTAGGTATTGCAGTGACAATACATTGTTCAGTAAATTAGTCACATGACTTCATCTGCACTTCCTCACAATGCTTCTCAGTAAACCCCTCACATGATAATGTTTTCACGGAGCGCAATGCCTCAACGCTGACGTCATTTCCAGAGACAATTTACACATTTTATCAATAGCTTACATGCTGAAAAGGTGTGACTCATCCGAGTGAATAGATGTTACTCATACTGATGTCAGTTATGTCCTCTTCAAATTCAATTCTCGGGTCAAAAAACAGTCTGTGGTAAATGTCCTGAGAGAAACCTTTCAGTTGTGCCTTCACAATTTCTGTCACAGTTTTTTTTTTCTGTACCCTGAAAAGTGCACGCTGACATGGAAGCTCGCGAAACACAACATCCCTTTCATGTTCACAGTGAGTCATTTCAGGCAAATAGAGCATGGGAATAGTGTTCACACATTTCCTCATTTTAGTTTAAAAAAACAACACTCTATGCATCCTAAATACACTTTTTTAACTCTTTCCAAGGCATCTTTTAACACAGATTAAGTTAACAGTCCCACTGAGAAAGACAACTCATGAAGCAGCGTTTACCATCACAAGAGCAAATACCTTGATTGAGGAAGAAGCGGCTGATCCCACCACGTTGTGCTGTGCTGAGAAGCTTTGACTTCTCTTTTCACACAGAATGAGAGACTGGCTAAGCGCAAAGAGTTGAGAGTACGTGAGAGAGAGAGAGAGAGAGAGAGAGAGAAAGGGGGGGGGGGGGGGGGAGAGAGAGTCAGAGTGAATGTGTGCGAGAGAGGCACAGACGATGTGAAATAGCAGAGAAGTAGGGAAGAGATTCAGAGATAGAGGGAGAGGTTGGAATGCAAAGAGGGAGGGAAAAAGAAGGATAAAAAAAAACCCGGAGATTCCTCAAAAGGAGGAGAAACGCCGGGCTGTGTGATCACCTGAGTTGTTCACGTTGTGCATCTTGCTCTGGTTGGGGAACTGCTGGTGTCCGACGCGCCTTTCTGTTGTGGAGAAACTTGACTCGCCCTCGTAAATCGTCTGCAGCATACTCCACTCAGCGCTCAGGTCTCATTGCAAGCCGAGCGTTTCCTGTCACCAAGAGCCACCCCTCAGCCACTCAGGGGAGAGACCGCGACAACAGGCAACGCTCTCCCTTCCTCTGATACACCGCTCTCAGCGCAGAGCAGCAACACTCTCTCTCTGCACGGCTGCCACTCTCCCGTGCCTAAACACTAACACAGTTACAGGACAAGATGGCCAAGTCGTATCTGCCTCTCTCAGTCTGTGGTCTTTTCTCCTCTCCTCGACAAAGTGTCTGAGCACAGACTGAGAAAAAAATGTAAAAGCTGAGCCATGAACTGTGCGCTGAGCACCTCGCCGAGGCAGTAAATGCAAGCCAGGGAGGGAGCAAAGCTCATTTGCATGTGAATCAACAACTGCGTGGCCCACAGGTGACAGAAATAGAACAATGGCCAGCCCTGGCTAAAAATAGGTCAGGCGAGGCGCGGGGATTGGAGCAGCATTGATGCGTTTAAAAATACCACACCAAACACAGCTGTCTTCTTCTGCTCCTGCCAGAAGGCACGTCTCCTGACTCCCTCTCTGCAGATGGAGGCTTGGTTCCTCTCTCTCTCTCACTCTATTTATGTCTGCATTTTTTTCTCTCAGGTACATGGGTGGAATGATCCGTGTCTGCCTTGATGTACTGAAAGATGCACATGTAACGTTCACCTCTGTGCAGTGTACGATATGGCAAAGGTGTTGCAAGCTTTGTCTTTTGTATGATTCACAAAACTACAAAAATAACTCGTATTTTTGGGGGTAAAAAAAATACAAATGGCAGTAGCATTTAGGTGAAAATCTGCAAGTGTGACAAAAACCCAACAAGATGTGTTAAGTCAAGCCAGACACCAAGATGAACACGGTGTTCATTAAAGACTCAGAGTGTAACCTCACTGCATTAGTGAGTGTGTGTGTGTGTGTGTGTGTGAGGTTCAGTGTGTATCAGTACTGCTGCTCGGGAAGCATGCTTTCAGCTAGCCAAAGAAGCCAACTGTAAGATGCTATAACAGCATGAACCCAATTACACAAACCTCTCAAACTGTGTCAAGAACACCTCTTCGGGATTACACGTCCCATTTGAAACACACTTGATACAGTGTAAAGCAGGGATTTTAAAATTTACAAACAGAACACTACAGTACACATGAAGAGCATCTCAAGAACTTGAATACTGAATTTTGAAGCACCAAGTAGCTTCAGGACTTTTTCAATTAATATTACATTCCCAAAGTGGCCGAGATCTGTAGTTAATATAATGTGACTCCAGCTCATAAAAGTCAAGTCAAATGTTCTATCTGACCACGGATGCAGGGCTGGGTTTGCGGCCGAGCAGCCTGTGCCTTTAAATTTTTCATCTTCCTTCATAATTTGACCTGTCCCCCAGCCAGGGGCGTGGAGCCAGCACGGCTATTTTTAGGTCCTGAGCTCTGACGACTTGGCTAGAGAGACACAGAGAAGGAGTTTTGCCGTGTTGTTTCAGCTGGACAAACATTTAACCCCTCGATCCTTTTATCACAGCGCAACTAAGGAGCCAAGAAGGAAATGCACAGCTTGCGGGCTCGCCCCAGACATAAGAACAACTCTGAAGCTAATGCATAATATTTCGCTACTTGATTATTCATAAACAGAAGCAAGATAACTCATGCATTTGTTTTGATTCCTAACTAAAACTTTTTTTTAATCTAAATTAAGTAGTTTTCATCTTTGTTTACTCGAATAGCTGAGAGAAGGATTTACACAAACATGGAGGGAGGGAGTCATGGAGCAACATGGGGAAAATCTATCAAGAAATGATTACTCCAATCTCCCCTCAGTGACACATTTCAGTTGAACAGATTTAGCAAACTCCTGATCTTTGCAAATGAGTTTTGGCAGTCAAGTCGGGTAAGATAGTGTGAGAGACAACACGCCTTCAAGTCCAAAGTAATGATGGCTACAGACCCAGAGCTCCATCTGTCGCGGTTTCTGTCAGAGCGGGCAGGCTCTGACCCGGCCTCCCTGAACACAGGCATGATTGATCAAAAGAGGAAGTATGCGGCCGTCACATGAACAACAATTATCATGACAATGGAATCCCTATTTATATGACATGATAATGTGATTTTGTCCTAGACCTAAAATAAAAAAGGACATCATTTTGCAATGTTCCTGTTTCTTGCTGTTTTTACAGGGGTTTTGTTTCTGTGATTTTTCACTATTACACAATAAAAACTCCTTTGTCTGCACTTGTGTACAAATGAATAATGTGTTCCCAGAAAATACCCTTGGTCAACCTGACCTAATGCTCCTTAAAAATAAATAAAAAGGAGACCTTTCACTGGGACACGTTAGCAGCGATTAACCTACACTTTTTATTTATAACGAGCTTCCTGAGGCTGATGAGGGATTGTGGGATTGGAAATAGCTCCATCCAATAGGCAGGGTTCAGTAAACCTGCAATGTGGCAAGCCCGTTATAGCCCCGACTGCGTCACTGGTGGCCTTTGTCTACTTTAGTCCTATTAAAGCATTTAAGTGTGAACGTCAGTGTCCCTGCTGGAGAGCCACTCCACTCTGCTCCCCAGGGCATGGGCTCGACTGTCTGTCACCTCCCTCAGATCAAAGACAAACTGTGTGTGTGTGTGCGTGTGTGTGCAAGTGTGTGTGTACCTGCATGTGTGTGTGTGTGTGTGTGTGTGTTTTGACATCAGAGCACTGACATGGAGTGGGAGAATATTAGAAATGAGAGAACAAGTGGGTCAGACCAGTGAAGTGCCCCGAGCACTTTCCAAATTTATAGAGAGGCCATTATAGATATCAGGAAATACAAACACATGCATCCATACACACAACACACACACACACACACACACACACACACACACACACGTGTTATTTACTTCAACTTTGCCAATTTAAATGATCTACTTTTACTAGAAATACAACAAAGAGATAATTCCCGTCATGGTACCTCAGCTCTTTCCATTCCATTTGGAGAAACCACGGTAATAACCTGGGTACGTGTTATTTCCGACCAAATAAGCGTCCTCGCATTACCACAATTACTGTACCAGTTACAAATCAACTACCAAGTTCTGTGGCTTAATCATCGCACTGCTGCCGTGTGACACACACTGCATGATGAAACCCAGCAGGGAGGCAGACCGGAGAAGGAAGGGAACTTAAGTGTTGCAACAAATAGGAGTGATGGACAAACAGTGCTCCTTATAACTGATCTGATTCTGCTAGAAAATTATTTTGTTCTCTGTACGGGGTGATCCGTGTGTGGGAGGCAATGAGTCAGCCATGTATTGTTTTTCTGTAGTTCTCTGAACTTTAAAGCCCCCATGTATCCATGTATCTCAGAGTGCCTTTAATTATCTTACATGATCTTAATCAATATGTTTATTAGAATCGGCTTTAATCTAATTAGCCCTACCTATTGCTTGTCTTCCTGCAGGTGTGGATGCAGAGTTTCATCATGCTGCCCTGCGAGGATTGTGGCGGATGTGATCATTGTCAGACGGGACGTTCCTCCCGAGAGAGCGACCCGCATACTAACAGCAACTTCTGACGTAACCATGCAGCTCAATGTCCCTGAGTTTCTCCTCTCTAGTGGCCCCCCCCACACACACACAGCTCTCGTGGGCAGCCCTGGTACAGGAGGGAAATTACCTCTCCACACCAATTACCTCAATGCCCGCCATCTTACTTACATCAGCCGCTGATGAGTCCCCATTTCCAACTGTGAAATAGTTTCGAGATCAATTTAGGGAGTGAGGCTATGGCGTAATGCTGCCCCAGTCTCTGAGTGTGGAGTACAGCATGCTGTATTAGCAACCAAGCCCAGCCATTCTACCTGCTAACAGCCAAAGGTAGAGTTTTCAAAACAGCCCATTTTCCCTTCACCTTGCGGTCAGTCTCATAAAAGCACAAAGGCGCTACAACTGTTGATTTGATGGTAAAAATCCCATTAGCCTGTACAGCTGGATGTGTTATGCGAGTGCGTTTCCCCACTAATGATTTGGGCACTCTTGCTTTTATTGGGTTACTCTGTCTGGCGTCCTGCGGTATTTCCTGTTGGACATTCGGGGTGATATAGAATGCACTTAACAGGTTAGATCAAATAACATGAAAAGCATTTAAAGGCAGTCATGTTTGGTACTTAATGTTGAAACATTGCCAGCAAAGTTTTTGCAATGCAGCTAATACCACTGTTGGGTTGAGTTCATGCAGCTTCATGTGTTTCTCTTGATAGAGAGGCCGGATATAAAAAAAGATAGCGATGGTTGTTCTTCAAAGAGAGAGGTGAATCAACATATATCCTTAAAATTCTGCTGTGAACCCTCGATCTGAGGAACAGATTGAACCATAACAGAGTTTCAAGAAGCATCCACTTGTTGTGCGTTGACCTTGGGGTCAGTTTACTTTCTAATTGTGAATAGATCCCTGATGCCGTGCCTTCATCTGTTGCCATAGGCTGTCTAAAAATAGATATGGAGTACAAAGGCACACTGGAAACAGAGGGCAGCTCTCGGTATTTTTACTGATCAATGTGCTCATCTCTGTTGGAAACGATCAATCCGCTCTATCAAATTGACCATTTTGTCATTTTATGTCTGCCCTACATTCAATCATTCAGCACAACATTCAAGCCCACTTCATGTTCCACATTGTCCAGCTTGCCCAGCGCATTCTCTCAAAGCAACACAAAACTATTCATCTTCTCACAACATTCTAACACTAAAAAGCTTAGCATTGATTAGAGCCTTTGAAAGATTATTCTGAATGTAAGCTGGCATTTTAGCGAGCTATTAACCACTGAACATGACGTAGGATTAAGAGGAAACGTTTTTGAAACCAACGTGCAGAATCATTGCATCAGTGTCTCTCAGACCTTCAGGAGTCATCTGTATCGAAGGTTACGATATTGTAACCCTGGTTCTATAAGCGCAGGTGGAGCCCTCTACTGGACTGGATTTGCATAAACGTAGCCAGCCAATCAGGATGTGCCTACCCGAATACGTGCAAACCCAAAGTATAAAAGGCAGCACACATCCCTGTTGACATCCCACACCCTCAAAGGAGCAGCAAGGCCTACTTGGTAGATGGCTTAGCCTGTGCATATAGAACAAGGGTTACAATAACGTAACCTTTGTTACTCAAACTGCTCTCTACTGGACTCTATGGGAACAGTGGGTGGAGCCAGATGAATGTCTGCCCTGACGCGGCATAATATTGACCCAACCATACTGATGCTGACCGACGAAAGGTTAGTCGGCGCAGCCCGCCTACTTCTTTATAACCTGCGGAGAAGTAGGGGGCCCCGGCAAACCCAGGTAGTATGCAGCTGAACTGGGTATAGCCATGGCCTAACCCTGCAGGGGTCAAAAAGAAAAGCAGTAGACACCGTGTACACCACATGACCAGGAGCACGGGGACATGTATGTATACCAAGCCCAGACAGGGGGTCAGGTGCAACACAAGTGACACACACCATCCCTTTTCCCTTGTCCTGTGTCGTTCCAGTGAGCACAGACCCTGAAAAGGAGCCCGACATGTTCAAGAACCATATGAACGGAAAAGACATTGAACATGACGCCCTCGTACATATGTCCTCGACACCCCACGTACAAAGCCACCGATGCTGCCGCGCTGCATGTAGAGTGTGCACGGACCACAGTGGGAGGGTCTCTTCCTGCCTGCCTATAGGTTTGGTCGATGCACTCACAAATCCATCCCATCAGGCATTTCTTGGATAGGGCTTTACCGGCCACAACATCTCCAAAGCACATGAATATCTGTGTGAGTTAGAGCATACAAACACACAAACCCAAACAGACACATGTGACTTTGATGGAATCCAGCCAAGTTTAGCTGACCTTAGAAAATCCCAGAGGGATTAATGAAAACAAAGGTTCTCTGTTCAGAGGCACATCCTGCTAGTGGAGCCCGTTTATGAGTGGGTAATTCCTCATTCCTCATGCCTTGGAGCCACTATCTTAATATGATAACTAAATATATATTTTTGGTATTACCAATATGGTATTACAACTAAACACATTTTATCAGGCTTGTTTGTCCTCCGACACTGTTATGTCAGTACCAGATGTTCTATTTAAAGGCACAAATCTCACTTCAGTGACCTAAATATAACAAGCACAGGGGACAAGAACATAACGAAAATAACGCTGTCGTTGTTTAATAGGTTATGCTTACAGCTTGGCTGTTGTTCTGGATTTGTCAATGACCTTTAAAGACAAAGCAAAACTCCATTCATGGATTTTAAAGGAAATAAAGTTTACTATGGGAAGGGTGGGCTGACACTTATTGTCCAAGCCACTTCCACCTACGCCACCACTTCTTAACTTGACCACAGCACAGTCACAGTACTCGCCTCCTGTGGTGTCTCAAAGGTCTCGGGCACAACAATACCTCTGAAAAAAATAGCTTTTCCTCTGATTATTAAGGTAGTGCTATGCATACCGGGAAATGTCCCGCAGTGCACCCATCACCTCTGTTACAATGCTAATGTCTGGGCTGCTCCATGATATGCATAAACCCGGGGGGGGGGGGGGCTTCAGTGGTATTTTTAAACGCTTTGCTACGGCGACCTTGAGTTTCTGGATTTTATTATAGCATCATATCTATATTTTTCCACCATAGTTACAAATTCACCGCGGTGAGCTGCCACACCCTTATACAGTGGAAGTCTGGCACTGGAACTGGCCTATATTACACAAACACCCGAGTATATTGTAAAGACAATGTTATACTTTTGCAATTCCTATGCGAGTGCCTAAACAACTCAAACAGCTCCCTATTTCCTTTCTCCCTTGAGAGGCAAAAGCATTGAGGGATCGCCCTATTTTGTTTTGGTGGGGAGATAATAAGAGCATATGCTTTTCTGTGTAAGTGTAAATTTCCACTTGCATGGGTTGTAATATTAGAATAATAGAAGATATTACAAATTATTTTTCCGTCTTTTTGTATCTACAATAAATTCTCCTATTTCTGAGTTTCAGCTGCTTGATTGAGTCCGCAAAGATAGATAGACAGACAGACAGACAGACAGACAGACAGACAGATAGATAGATATGGGACAATGTCCAAGCGGGGTAAAACCCCCGGGTGGATCCTTCAGCAACAGTGCACCCTGCAGGTTGATTAAAACAGGAAGAAGAAGTGAAGGCTAGAAATGCGAGAGATATTACTGTGAACTTTCCAGCAAACTCCAAGGACCAGGAAGACAAATATTGTGACACACAACAAACACTCTGCTACAGCGACTGGACAGCACAGAGGTCCAAGGGAGCAGAGATACTGTAAAAACACAAATCAAGACACTCACTCTGCAAACAAATATAAATGCCCAGACAAACTAACACACACATGCGTACGCATGCACACAATTCCACACAGCAATGCCACCATGCTGTGCTTTGGGAGTGGCTGCAGCGTTCCTGACCTCTTGTCTTTCATCTTGGATCCAGTAACCAAAGTGACTTTTCAACCCAGCCCCTTCAATAACACAGGGCCTAACAAGCTTTGGCTGGCTCTTTCAAAACACAGAAATTACCAGCGCAAGAAAGAAACTGTGTCAACTGTGTGATCTCCTCAAAGCTGTGTGTACAATCAAAAAGATGGAACAAAGTTCAGAACGTGCGTGTTTCCTTTTGAACTACAAAGTGGGGAGTTTCCTACCTTTAAAAGAGCAAAATAGACGTAAAAAACGAGAGAATGAAAAACACTTCAGGCATCCTTTTTGTCTGCTCGCTTGTTAAAAGATGCCATTCATTGATGTTAATCATGACTCAAACTTCCTTTTCCAGTCTAAAGAGGAGCCTCGCTGTTTTTGGAAACCTTTCATTTTGTTAGCAATCGCTGCGATAATGCCACTGACAGATAAAAGGCAGAATTTAAAAAATGCTGTAAGGTTGTCACCTCAAAGGAGGTACATTCTTCTGTTATGGTAACAGATGGGCTGGTAACCCTTTCACACCTATCTGGCCACGGAGGCCCTTTACGAGGGCTCTGCTCTTAGATATCCAGCCAGTGTGTCCAATCTCTGTGTAATTCCTGGATCCGTTTGTTCTGCACATTTCACGCAAAGCAGGGAGGGGGGGTTTGCGGCCATGACCTCCTGCCGTCCCATAACTCATAGGATGGGGCTGAGAGAGTTGGCGAGTGCCTGCAGATGAAAGAGATGTTTAGCATGACGCACGGCGGCACAGTCGGGGCCACGGAGGATGATGGGATGGCACGGAGTGATAGCTAATGGGATCCTTGAAGTCTGAAGTTTGTCTGTTTCTGCCATCAAGGAGAACGGCCCCGCTCTGATTCCACCATACAGATATGACAGAGACCCCATGACGCCTGTCAATGGGCACACTGACAGATGGGTCTGTAGATAGGCAAATACAAGATAGAGAGTAGATAGGCAAGACATTTATTTCAGGTAAAAAGATAACCATGAAAAATAGTAAGCCCTCAACTAAAGAATTTACAGAAGAATAAAAATAAAAAACGCAAATGGAAGTCATAAATATGTGGCTTTAGCAAAAAGCATATGAATCTATCTTGAATACTCGAAAGCGGGAGCCTTAAATCTCCCCATTTTTCATCCACACAAGAGGCCGCTCAAAGACATGAATGATTCATCTCTCCATCTCCATTTGGACAGGAAGTGAAAACAAATGGAGGTAGGTCCCCCCCCCCAGAGAGCCTCGGGGTCTACGGTGGAGCTGCATGAACAACACTGAGAACACCGGGCTCTGTGTCTTTAGCTGCAACAGGAGCCAGATTCCCCCTCTGAGCCGCTGTTCTCCTCCTACTACCTTTATAGAGAGAAGATATTCCTCTCACACACACACACACACACACACACACACACACACACACCACTACCTACTCCTTTATTCACCAACAGCTTCAGCCTCTCACCTCGGACTTTTTCAACCTGCAGGTGAGCTGGAGGAGAGACGTCATCAGGTTTGGTTTAAGGATTGATTCAAATGTTTTATGCGTATGCAATGCAACGGCCTTGAACAGAGTTGCCGTTAATGACTTGTGACTCAAACAAAAAGAACAGAAACAACAAACACTGTGAGTGTGGGTGAGGAAAAAATGTATTCATGTCCTAGTTTCATGGCACCTGAGCTACATTCAGATCGTCTGTGCAACGTCTGTACAGCCACTGGAGCTAAAGCAGCCGAGAACAGTAAAATAAATAAAGGTGAGAATGTGACTCTTCATCTCTTTTTCATGACAGATGAAGGCCAGTACTACACTCATACTTCTGTTTAACCTCAAAACACATACAACACGCACACACACACACACACACACAAAAGAGATGTGGATTATAGTAACGGTAATCTGCTGTTCTGAGTTTTTTTTCAGTAACAAAGAGAGTGTTGTATTTCCACACATATAATGGCTAGTTTTATCCTGCCATTTAAGCCTCCTGTACCGCACCGATGAAGAGCACATAACAATGAGACCAGCACCTTCCTCTGGGCATCAACAACACCCCCCCCCCCTCCCCCAAAAAACTCACTGAACCAAACCCATTTTTTCCAGTCTAAGAGAAATGTCAAGTCCAGACCTAGAACTCGTCTCTTTGAAGGGAACAGAGCTGCCAAATATAGCCCGCTAGCCTCTACGCCTCCTGACATATATCAGGCTCTACGGGTTCTGCTCACAGCGGTTCAATTTGGCGGACTGCCACGTAGTCACTTTCTATTAAGCGTCATAACTATACAAAGAAAATTATAACCAAGCGATGGAGTGTACACTGTTGCTTAGTAACCTAATGCCAAGTTGGGGATTCATCTTGTTATGGAACAGAAAACACTTACAGCGTGAGCCAATAATAGATCCTGGACCACACAAAAAAATACTTTAAGGGTGTCAACAAGCACGAACATGAAGCCGACGAACATAACATGAGAGATGTACATCTAAGGAACACAGCTCACTTCTTAATGTGTGATTTTAGGAATGTTGACAGTGTTTCCGTGATTGCAAATTAGATAATTATTATTCATCTGTCATTTCTTTTAGGTGAATTGAATTATAGAATGAGAGCTTTAAGGACACATTATGCAGACTGGCACTGGGTGCTCGGTGCTAATATGCAAAGCTGTTTTTTGGAGTCTTTTGGATCTTTCTGAATTACACAACTTGCCCCCCCCTCCCAAGAAATATGTGGATCATGAGTATTGCTGGCTAACATACATATTGTTTTTCCTATCACTGCATTACAAAGACATACAAACTAAGCACCTCTCAATGCTCCATGCTAATGGCTGGTTTTAATATAGCTTATATCTGCATGCAAAATGAACACATTACAACTAGGCTAGACATTCTGTCTGTAGCAGAACATGTCACCATAGGCTACAATACATAATCTATTTACATGTAATCGCTTTCTTTATACAGAGTGGGTCATCATATGTAGTCTATTAGGAGCTTTTTGGACTTTTATTTATGTCTAATTATGTCT